GGAAAAAAAAGAGAAAAAAAAGGAAAAAAAGGAAAAAAAAGAAAAAAGAAAGAAAGAAAGAATAGTGAAAAAATAAACAGTGGCCATAGATTGCTTCTCGTACAAGGATCGATAGATAGATATTTCAATACTTCTCCGGATGTACAGTTCTCAGTCGGAAACGCGCAATTTCCCCAGTTGCCAATTGGACCTGTCATCTTTTGCATATATACCCCTACCGGGGCGTGGGCAACTTATGCATATGCCCCGATATTTCTGGCTGTTGGACCGTGCAGATGGCAGAAAAAATGCGGGGGGCCCTTTAGCCAGGGGCCAGGGCATATGGAGAATTTGGCAATGACCTGGACAGGGGCAGATGCAAAAGTTGAGGGCATTTCCACATACCCCTGTGTTTTAGAGGTATCTAACGAAATAACCGAACTTTTAGGGGTATTTCAACAAATTTTCCCAAAAAACATAAACGAACGCAAATTGGGTATATACCTAGGCTACCAGCCGGGCCGCCCGGGTTGCCTTGGGCTGCCTGGCCGTACAAGGACCAGAGAAGGTCCCAGCAAAAAGAAAAAAAGGAAAAAAAAGGAGAATTAAAAAATTCTGAAAAAAAGTAAGGCTATGCCGAAAAATAAACTCAACAACTTTTGCCTCAGAGTCACATCGAAATTCTTTACCAAATTTTATTAATTTTATTATTATTATTATTTTATGTTTTTGGCCCGGCTGGGCAATTGGCCGGGCAACTCTGGTAGCCTAGGTATACACTTTATAGATAGAAATTAACGACGACAAAAAAAAATGACGTTGACGACGCAAAAAAAAAAAAAAAAGATAGGAAGCGGCGAATGGCAGAAGCAGTCTGAGGATGATCAACGCTGACCCCAAAAAAATTAAATCGACGAATACAAAAAAAAGAGCTCTCTCTCTCTCTCTCTCTCTCTACGATCCCTCCGTCCTTCCCCCTTCCCCCACCACCTCCTTCCTTGTCTTTTTGCTACATCGTCTTCCATCCCTCTCTCTCTCTCTCTCTCTCTCTCCCCCCCCAGTCTTCCGTCCTTCCCTCCTCCCCCACCTCCTCGTTCCTTGTCTTTTTGCTCCATCGTCTTACATCCCGTTGTGCTCTGTGCATGTGAGCTTCAAGTGGTTCGAGGTGGTCTGTTTTTTGCACCGAAAATTTCTCTAGTTTGTGGATGATCCAATCTTATCTTTATCTCCTGGTCTCAATCTCCATCAATTTTATTCTCTCCTCTTTCACTCTTTCTCCTACGTCTTTCTCTATATCTGTAGTTATGTGAATGCATCTAACTGCCTTTATGGTCAGACTCAACATGATGGCCATGTTTCACTACCGTTTCTGTTTCATTCGCTCCCAATACAAGGCCGGAATCACTCTCTCCCCCTTTCCCCCTCTCCCCCTCTCCCCTGCTCTCGCGTGATGGGTTCCGATCGTCCTCCTGAAGTAACGAAATCTCTCTCTCTCTCTCTCTCTCTCTCTCTCTCTCTCTCTCTCTCTCTCTCTCTCTCTCCGTGTCTCTCCGTTGCGCGCTCGCCGGCTTACCCTCTTCCCCGCTTCTCTCCGTTGACGCTGCAGGTTGGGATCGTCCATTTTGCAGTGTGCGACGGAGCATATGTTTGTGTGCCATGTCGCCACAGGTCGGGATCGCCCATTTGGAGTGTGACAAGTCGGGATGACCGGCCCTCTTTCTTCCATCCGTCCTTGCATCCTCCTCCCCTCGCGGCGGCCTCCCATTTCGATTTCGATTTCGATTTCGATTTCGAGTTCGATTTCGAGTTCGAGCTCGATTTCGAGTTCGAATCCAGATGCAGCCAGAGGATCAGAGGAAAATGAACTACCGTCGCCAATTCTGAAATAAAAAAAGAAAGGAAAAAAGAGGGCCGGTCATCCCGTCCTTGCATCCTCCTCCCCTGGGGCCGTTCAGTTTAGTGATGATATGTCTGAAGACCGTCGCCAATTCTGGAAAAAAAAGGAAAAAAAAAAATCATACGGGGAGCACACAGACAAGCAAAGACAGACCCGCCCAATGCATTTTGAACTGGAACGCCTGCTGCAACTCCACCTCTTTTTTTTTTTTTTCCTTTTTTTTTTTGGGGGGGGGGGGGGGGGGGGGGGTAAATGAAACTGTACATACCGGAAGGCTGCTGCTACCTGTCAGTGGGGAACTGCACCAGCAGCTGGAGATGGGGTGCAACTACTAAACCCCTTTATTGAGCTTGCCAGTGTTGCCACTACTAAACCCCTGACAAACTCTGTAGTGATTTTTGTGGTGCGAATTTTTGTTCACGATCCCTGCAATATGAGGGCCATTGTAATGAGACCCTCTAGTACATTGACCCCTGAGCACCCCCTCAATGATCCCCTTCAATGCCCCCCCCCCCCCTCTCCCCCCCCCCTTCTCCGCCCTTCCTCTGCAATAATCGTCCTGCAATGACCAGTTGCAATGAACCCTTCCCTGCAAGAACCCTTCGCCGGGCAATGCCCCCCCTTCCAGTGACCCCTTGCAGTGGTGACTCTTCTTCCATGCTGCGAACGCTCCTCTCCAATTACCCCCTGCAATTATCCCACCCTAAGCACCCTTGCAATACCGTCTGCAATGTGTCCCTCACAGTGGCTTCCCTGCAGCAAGCCTCCTGCAATGGCTTCCCTTGCTATGAACCCTCAGCTGTAGCGAGAGCCCTCCCCTGCAATTAACCCACCCTAAGCGCCCTTGCAATACCGTCTGCAATGCGTCCCCCACAGTGGCTTCCCTGCAACGAGCCTCCTGCAATGGCCTTCATAAATGGCCACCCTGCAATGACCCCCTTGCCATGATCACCTACAATGACCCTCTCTGCAATGACTCCCTCTGCAATGTTTCCCCTGCTGTGACCCCCCCCCTGCAATGCCCCCCCTGCAATGATCCCTTACTGAAAGAACCCTGCAAAAAGAACCCCTGCCATGACCCCTCTGCAATGTTCCCCCTGCTGTGCCCCCCCCTGCAATGATCCCTTACTGAAAGAACCCCCTGCAAAAAGAACCTCCTGCAAAAGAACCCTGCAAAAAGAACCCCCTGCAAAAAGAACCCCTGCCATGACCCTTGCAGTCACATGATATCTGCACCCTCTCCATTTCCTCTTTTTTTGTTTTTTCTCTTTGGAACGGAATACAAAGAGTGTGTGGTGGTTCCATTCACAAGCGTGGTGCACGCTACGGATATGTAGTTAGCCCCCCAGTTTTGCCATTTGCAAACAAGCACCACCCTTCTTTTTAACTCGACGCTTAGGAATTTTATGGCTGTGACACACGGGGATGGGGGCAGCCAGCGCTAACCTGTCATCCACGTGGCTGGCCTTGTACGTAAGAGGTGACGAACAGGTGGGGCTTTCCTTCCTTACTTCTTTTTCTTCTTCTTGTTCTGTCTTTTTCCGCCTTTGCGCTCTGATTTCCATTGTGACAATATATATGGTATATAGCATGGGGCACCATCTGCAAGCGACATGCAAGAATAACTAGATGAGACGAATCACGTCATATTCCATGCAATGCCATGTATATGCCCATAAGAAGCTCTGATCAGTTTATTAGAGTTTAATATCCGAAAAAAAAAAAAGAATGCCTTGTCATTATAGCTGTACCTGGGACAGGGGTTGTGGTTGTTGCGACTTCAGCGTTCGCAGACTGGTCACATTCAGATGAATCTGACGTTGTTTTTTTTTTTGTTTTTTGAATCTGATGGGTTTTTAACCTCCTAATTCTGTAACTCGTTTCCTGCACATAACATATGATCTGTAGTAAATTTATTAATAGTTTTTTATTTCGCTCAAAAAATGAAAATTTTTAATTATACTATTGCACAGGTGGATATCTATATATTCTGATCCGCAGATTCCTCACCGATTATGATGGTCATTTTTCAATTTGGCTTTCCTCTAATCAACCAGATCATTCAGATGATGATTAATGATCGGCAGTTGTGTGTCTTGAGTGCTTGCAGGCAGCGAATGGGTTGTGAAAGGATTAGCTCAGACTCGCAGATGTCCAGGACTGCACGCTGTCCTCTTCTTGTACGTTGTTACTTCTGTCCTTTGGCATCATTGCTGTTCCTTCATCTCTGTGTGTTTATTCTCTCTCCCTTGCTCCTATTTTTGCTATTAAACCGTCTGTGTGTGTGTGTGTGTGTGTGTGTGTGTGTGTGTGTGTCCCTCTCTCTGCTCTGTTTCTTAACCACTGTCTGTCTGTCTGTCGGTCGTTCGGTCGGTCGGTCGGTCTGTCGTTCGGTTGGTCGGTCGGCCGGTCGGTCGATCGGTCGGTTGGTCTGTCTGTCGGTCTGTTTGCCGGTCTATTTGTCGGTCTGTCAGTCTGTCTATCTGCCGGTCTGTCTGTCTATCTGTCGATCTGTCGGTTTGTCTGTCTGTCTGTCTGTTTGTCTGTCTGTCTGTCTGTTTGTCTGTCTGTCTGTCGGTCCGTCAGTCCGTCTCTCCATCACTCTGTCCATCCGTCTGCGGATGGCCGGGCTGTCTGGCTGTATGGCTGGCTCCCTGTCTGTCAGTCTGCCTGCCTGCCTGGCTGCCTCCCGCTCTCTCTGTCGCTGTCTCTCTGTCTTCCTACCCGTCTGTATGTCTGTCTGCTTGCCTCTTTCTCTGTCTCTCTGTCTGTCTATCCGTCCGTGTGTCTGTGTGCTTGCCTCTCCTTTCCAAGACTCTCTGTCGCTGGCTGTGTCTCTTGCTGCATTGTTGATTGTGAATTGCGAACGGGTCGGGGAACTTGAAGTCGATCTGGATCAAGATACCAAACTAGGGATTTGTGATAAACAATTAGCTATTTCCATATCTGAGCTGGAAGTGTTCATGTAACAGATTTGATAACTGTTCGCGAACACACTGAGCCATCAGTGTTCGCATACCATAATTAGCTTTGCCACTCAAGTTACAACAGCAGCGTTTTGAAGAGATCCGCCAGATCCCGATCGGAATCACCTGTGTCCCGGTCTCCGGTCCATCACCTTGATAACATTATAGTGAGTTTATCAACTTCGTCATATTTTTTGTGAGTTTATCAACTTCGCTGTTCTCTGCGTCTTCAGTTGTCGTAATGATGATCCTCAGGAATGATCATATACGATGATGGTCATCATCATCGATCGTCATCATCATCATTGCCGCCTTCATCCATGTGCGGGTGACCAGTATCGTACTTGTCATCATCAGCATGTTCGTCATCGCCATAATCCTGCTCATGATCGTAATCGTTGTCGTCATCATCATCATCATCACAATTCATCATCATAATCATCATGATGATGACAACAGCATCATCATCATCATCATCTTCATACCCATTATCATTGTCATCATAGTCTTGGTCATCAATATTATCATCTTCATCTATACCATCACAACACACGATCATCATACACATCATCATCAATGCCGTCAAAAAGTCGTCGTCATCATCGTCGTCAGTTGCACCATTACCTTCCTTGCCTTCTGAAGATTTCATGCCATCATCATCATCATCATCTTCCATTCTCGTTGTTGTAATTATCGATATCATCATCACCATCATCATCATCCTCATTCACTATCCTCATGATCTTTAAAATGGAAATTCTGTGAGAAATCACTCTCCAAGCGGATTCATGTTTGAATGCAAGTTTGATAGACAGCTGAGTGCTCTCTCACAGAAAGTTCTATGAGAGATCAGTCTCCGTGCTCATTTTACTCATGGAAATGACACGTGGGTGAGGGGTGTTGTTCGCAGGGAGGTGTAGTCAAATTCGAGGGGAAAGTCCAGAGTGACAAGGGACATGATACTCAACTCGAGGGCAGTCGCGACTTGCTGGGGAAGAGGAGGGGGACCGTAGTGGTGATGGAGTTTGAGGTCCCAATAAGGGCCCAAGAAGGGATTCCCCTCCTTGTTGGAACTCTTGTTGGAACTCTTGTTGGAACTCTTGAGTTCCACGGGGGAGCATCGGTAATTACGAGTCCCGACAAGGACCCAAGAAGGGAATCACGTGGCCAAGCAGGGGGTGAGCGAGGGGTGGAAAAAAAAGCAGGGTTCGGTACACAAGAGAGAGTAGCGACTTAATGAGTTGTTGGGACGCATGGTTGGAACTCAGAGAGGCATCGGAAGTCAGGGGTGGGTTCGGCACTCAAGTTGGGACGGGGTCGGGGTTTGGGAATCCACTCAGATAAGGAGGGGAGATTCACCGGGAACTCGAATCTGAGTACAATCTGTATGAATCAGCAGGAAACGCCACGATGAGCATGAGCTCCTCCTGCATATTGATGACGTCAAATATTCCTCTGGGAGATGATCATGAAACATCCCCGCAGCGAAATGAGCATGAACTGTGTGTGTGTTTTTCAAGAAAAAGATAATCTGTCTCTCTCATCCCATCCAGAAATCATCACAAGCCACACATAAAACAAAAAAAGGTACAGATAGGCAATATTGTGTGTGTGCGTGTGTGTGTGTGTGTGTGTGTGTGTGTGTGTGCGTGTGTGTGTGTGTGTGTGTGTGTGTGTGTGTGTGTGTTCTGAATTTTCACCACAACAGCCCCTATTCAACCCAGATGAGGAGATCCAAAATCAAAGCATAAATAATTCAATCCTTTTGCAGACAACGCAAGCCCCTGAGTTGAGACAATCCAACAATGAAACAATGTCACCTCTATAGCAAGCAACATGAAGTGTTATAGAGGCATGTAACCCCCTTTCTTAATTGTGTTCACGGTTGATTTCTTTGGGGTTCCCCTTTCATTTGTTCTTGCAGCTCCCCCTTTACCATGCCTCTCATGTACAAGGCTCACCACGTTGATTGTGGTTGAGCGCGAGCTGCCCACATCCCCGTGTGCCATACCGGCCCACTTGCGCACTATGAAAGGAGGCAGAGCAAAGGCGGAGGTATATTCCTGTTCATTTCTTCTCAGATCTTCAACTTATATTTTGTCTGTTCTCTTAATGATGCTCATTCTTACTAGTAATACACAAGAGAAGGGAGGAAGGAAATGGGCGGTGGAGTTCTGACACAGTTCTAAATAGTGACTGGCATCGCAGAGCACTCTAGAATGGCACATGAGGCCAGTCAGTGTGTGGGTTGCGTAAGATTTGAGGACCAGTCGTGGCCTATGGTAAGTGGCCACCTCTACAGACCGGGCAGGGGCGGTTTGGGTGTGGCCTGTGGAAGCACCGCATCCAGTTCTCGCAGTTGCGGTTAGACAGATGTCACAGGCTACGTGGCTCCTACATGCTAGGAACACAGAGGCACGTCCACTGCAATTGTAGAGGCAATTGCCGTTCCAGGCCCTGTGTACAAATTGGACATGGCTCCTACATGCTCGGTTCTGCCCGTGCATGAGTAGTGTAGACTGTCATCATACGTATGAAGACAAAAGCGCACTTGGGCTATCCTTTCATAATCCTCACGGCATAAGGCATGCGAACCACATGCTAGCTGAATCTCCGGTGGGTCATCCCTTCTCTAAGGGTAGACGACGGCGGGCAAGGTTGCTCCAAAGCTAGGGCGTTTAGCTGCTGCAGGATTTGGTCTGCAACAGCTCGCCCTGGTGGAGATAACCTATAAGTACAGCGCTTTGTAGGTGTCCCCTATGGTAATCTACTGTCCTCCTCTGGCTGCTGTGTCTGTCGTTCGTCAGGCACGGAAGAGGAATTTTGACTGTGGGACATGCTAGGAGAGGATGTGGCGGATGATGGCACTGGGGATAGTCCACGCATTAGAGACACATACTTTCACATACTTTCTATGACAGGTTCTTGGAAACGTTGACGACATATGGCATGTTGCCGTCATGTCATCAGCAAAGAAGGCTGACGTGCGCAATTATTCAAGCATGGCAGATCAAGGCCACAACGGCATGCTGGGCAAGTAAAATCAGGGGGGGTGAGTATGAGCACAAGACAAAGGATCGCAGTTTTCGAGGCAGAGGCTGACAGTGACCATCCCTTCATAGTGTTCGGAGCAGAGGCTATGCCATGCACATGCTAACCGAACTGTGCCTTGCGACAACACAGTGGGAGGGCGCAGTCTCCATCCCCTGGAGAGGTCCCTTCACTGTTCGTGGTAGAATCCGTCTGATCCACACAGGGAGGGGATGCTGCCTGACCATGCACAAGGGAAGGAGGTTCAAATGGATTGCTCTCCGGAGGCTTGCGAGTGCTCATCGACAAACTGTTCCTGATGGACGAGCCAGTCCGAGTGTTGTTCTACCGCTTGGTGATGGAAAGAGTTGATATTTCCTGCTGCATGCACTCTACCACCATTGTTTGATAGGTAAGAGCATTGAAGTGACCTGGACGATGTAAGATGTATGCCCGAATATTCGGATCCATGCTTGACACGTGATTTTGTGCAGCAGGCTGGAATTGTATTCGCCTACCCATCAATGCCATAGACATGACTTCTATGTTCACGCCAGGTGTAGTACTGTCGTCCTCCGGGCAAACGACACGGTGCTCTTCTTCTATCCAATGGACAACGTCTGCAAAACAGAAACAGTATAAGAGTTGCAATTGTAGGCAAGGAGACATACATTAATGGCATAGTATGCACAATGGCTTCGGTGTAGTACTATGACATCATCCAATTCTGCAGGTTGTGCGGCCGGGGGAGGTTCATCCAATTCTGCAGATTGCACGCCAGGCGGAGACTCATTGCAGTCTTGACCATTTCTGTCAGGCTCCTCCGGCTGTATTAACTCCATTGGATCCGATATGCGCTCCGAAGAGAGGTCACCTCGATTCGGAGGGTCCATTAGGTGATCACAAGGTGGATCATTATCATTTGAGGCGGGGGAGCATGTAGGGTCAGGTGGATGAGGAATAGACGGGGCAGATGCAGGAAGCGGAGGTGGATCAGTCGCACTTGTGCTCAAAGTGGCTGCTAGTCGTGCAAATGCTGCACAGGTAGCTACACCTCGGGTCTGGTGCACACGCAGGCCTGCAGTACCGAAGAAATCATCGCCACATTGCGGGCATCGGACTCGATATGTACTACTCCTGGCTAGTGTATATTGAGAGCAACGATGTCGTTCCGTACGGTTGCGAGCATGTCGTCAGAGCAGATCTTTAACCCCTGCAAGGGGCATGGTATTCATGCTGTTCCAGGACAAACGAAGCCGCTGTCTTGGAGGCAGTGGCGGAGATGGGAAACATCTCCGCCGAAGAGGCATCTGTAACAACCGATCCAACACTGGGGTCTCTTCCGACGGGGCCTTTGTTACGACCGATCTGACCATGAATGTGTTGATGATGAGGTCAATGAAGAAGGGGAGGCATGGTAGGTGGAGGCTGAGGAGGAAGAGGTGGAAGAAGAGGAAAATGAAGAAGAGGAGGCAAATGACTAAGGGGATCATGTAGTAGTAAATGCCGTCCAGGGAGGTGGTGGTGATGGTGAGTGTGGGCGTGGGGGTGGGGGTGGGGGTGGGGGTGGTGGGGGTGGGGGTGGAGGTGGTGGGGGTGGAGGAGGTGAAGGCGGTGGTCGTGGCGGCACACTTTCCACAGCGGTCGTCGCCGCATTTCCAATATGCAAGCCTTCATCCTCTGCAGCCATTACGACGACGTTTACATTGTTTGTTGGGGCTGGCATGGTCTCCCGCTGAGTTGGCATATCCACATTAGCGTCTGCCATTTGTGGGGGTGGAGGAGGCGAAGGCGGTGATGGTGGCAGCACACTTTCAACAGCGGTCGTCGCCGCATTTCCAATATGCAAGCCTTCATCCCCTGCAGCCATTACGACGACGTTTACATTGTTTGTTGGGGCTGGCATGGTCTCCTGCTGAGTTGGCATATCCACATTAGAGTTTGCCATTTGTGGGCCCGCTGTGTTTGATTGTGAGGGGGGCTGATGCTGATGCTGCCCGTGGTCAGGATTGGTGTTAGGGAGTGGGTGGTGGCCTGCTGCGTGCGGTTGTGTGACCTGTGCGCAGAATTAGCTTGTGGCACTCGGTGAGCAATCGCCCAGGGCACCATGCGGTGAAACCAGTTCGAAAGCCGTGTAACGTAAGTGGGTGGGCAACGCTCCTGGCCATGCATATATGCAGTCCAGCCTATGGCCAAGACACTGGGAAGATGGCCCCTAACAAGCATACGCCGCCGTGTCAGGGAAGTCACTATAGCTTTGAAGTCGGAGATATTGTTACAGATATGTTCGAACCTCGTTAGCTGTCTTGTGAAGACCTTTGCGGGTTGATCAGCCGGGGCATTGGAGGAAGCACTGGGATATCGTATAGTAGGGAATGTCCAGGCCTCAACCTTATCAAACACACCAATGTGAAGGGAGTCGTCCGACCGAACGAGGATTCTGGCCCCAAGGAAAAGACATGACCCATCGTGCTCCGTAGTGTCTTTCCACTCAAGACCATACCAAGTAGGGAGGCGAAGATGTCTTCCATGATAGGATGTCATCAATGAATCGGTATGCAAATGCGTATGCTTGCACAATGCGCAGATCTCGCTGGCGAAGTTCGTCGATGAGCTGTGCTTCGTCCCAGTAGAGCGTAACGTTCGCAATTTCTGGTCAAGCGTTAGTGCCCATAGGGATGTTGACCACCTGA